ATAATTTTCCATAATTGTTTAAGGCTTCAAAATTAATTTTCTTGGATTTAAATTGTTCAAATATTTATTAATCATCCCTTCAAACTATTTTTTAGGTGATTTAATCATCCAAATTAATTATTTATACCCACGTGAATGTTCTATAATATTTTACTTTATTTTATATAATTATATTTGCATTTTACACTATTTACACATTATCTTCATTAGTAGCCTATACTTTAATAATTAATTGCATTTACTATTTTATTTGGGTCAAAATAACATTTCTTATATTTTTACAATCTATAGTTGTTAGTTTTTTAAGATTAAGTTGCCTAAATAGTATTTTTATATTTATTTAGCTATTTTATTAATTTATTTCTTTCTTAATTTCTTTTATTTAAAATCTAGCCCAAATTAGGCCAATTTTCGGACCCAAATTACTAGCCTAGACCTCAAAGCCCTTGGCCTAATCCCCCAACCAAAATACCATTTTTATTCCAACCAGGTCGGGACCCTACTGACCCGCCCCATCTCTTTTTTTAAAATCACAGTCGAGATCAACGGCTCACAATACCTCTCTCATCTCTCCTTATAACCACATAACCCCAAACCCTAACCCATATTTCCCAACCGGCCGCCCTTATATACCCTCATCCTCTTCTTCTCCCTTGAAGAAGCCATAGCCGCCTCGTCCCAAATCCCCTCTAAATCCGACTAAGTTATGGAATTCTTTCACGATCTGCTTACCTTATTTGCACTACCCCGTTATTACTCACACGCTCGTGGTATTACTTAGTACTTATCCGAATTTGGCAAGTACCACCTCTCCGAATCAAGTGTAATCATCCTCAATCTTCGAGATTCAGACAAAAATCCGTCTGTATACACCCACAACAAGGTCGTATGGATCCAATTCACCGAGATTCTTAGCTAAATTTTGACTACTTGTCAAACTAGGGTTTGTCCGATTTTTACCTATTCCGATTTGGAATAGGTTATGCATGTCCTCTCCCTTCTTGAACTTGATTGATTTTCTTTCCTTGTTTGTCTACGACTACTATATAAACTCCGTTCCCCTTAGAAGGTCTGAAAAACTATTATTTTGACTACTGTTACTACCACTATTCTCTCCTTGATTGTATATTATTCTGAGACTTCGATTTTGGCCAGCTGAAAGTCAAGGCCACCGAAATCCGACTATTTCAACCTCTCTCAGTGTGAGCACTGCCTTGGGTTCATCTGAGACCCTTGGAAACTCTGACACGCTGAGAACTTTGGGGTTCTACTACTCTTTTTTCCATTGAAGCACTATTGGGATTGTTTTTCTTATTTGCTTCTTTGATTATTCGCGACTGGCAAGTCTCCTTGGCTAGAGCAATTTTATTCTCTTTGGTTGTATTATGTGTTCTCCTAATTCATGTTCCTGAAACTTCTATGAAGCACTGCTCCACTACGCCACTTTGTTTGTAACTTTACTTACTCTAAGGTATTTCTTATGTCTCGATACTGAACTTGCCCGAATTCTAGTTGTGAGATGTATTTGGAATATGTGCCGGCATGAATGATTTTCTAATTATCCTAAACTTGTTTAATCTGTTGTGTTATATTGATACCTGAGGTTAATCCTGAGTTTGCTTCTTTGCCTTACTATGGATTGTTATGATAGACTGGGAAATATTCTGCCACTCATGCCTAACCTGCAGCTTTTTGGGGTTCTACCATTCATTACGACTTGTTCTCATAAAATTTATGTTTTATTGTGTGTTCGTTGACATGATCAACTCTGCATTCCTCAGTACTAGTTAAAACTTTAGAGTAAACTTTACAACTAGCGTTTTCCTATATGTGGTCAACTATTGCTGTATTTGATGCATGTTTGTCTTACTTTTGAAAATTGACTTGCCTCTTGCATTGTGACTGAGGTTTAGCATGTTACATTTCCCCCTGCCTAGTCAGGTGATTGTTCGATCATGAATTTGTTATGTTAAGATGTTTTCATTAGGTTTTCATGTTATAACCTTCATGTTTAGGCTATGCCCTACTGATTCTCCTAGCTTTAATGATCAAACCTTTTGTTTAAAAGTGTTTTAGGTTGTTTCTGACCATGCTTTGTTTGGAACTTCATTTGAAATGGTTTGCTATCCCATGATGATCAATCCTGTTACCCAAGCTTCTAAAAATGCAAACATGAACCTGCCTTGTGTGTGCCCTGCCAATATGTCATATGATCTTGTCTACATGTCTTAGTGAGAATTATTGTTAATTACAATCCAAAGAACTAAGTGTGTGGACTTCTTACTCTATTTAATTAATTTAACATGTAATTTGTTGTTTGTGTGGTTAAGTTTGACATCTAATTAAGGTGTAAGTTATTCGTTTGGGCCTGGTGTTTGGTCATATATGTTGTTGGACTTGGGCGTTGGATTCGGGCTTACTCTACTAATCCTATGAAATTGGGATTTGGGTCTATAGGTCGTATGAAAGTAAAGTTGTTAAAGTCCCAAAAACAACACTGGGTTATTTGTATTGGGCCTATCACTGTTCCATTGGGCCAATAGTTGTCTCATTATGTAAATATTCATATTTGAGCTTGTATTATTCCATATGGGCATGTAATAATTTATGATAACGAATAGTGGGGAAATTAGTAAAAGGGGGGCTGGGGTATTCTGATTCTCGCATGAACGGGTAGAAAGCTTACCTATAGGATTTAATTGCCTTGTTTGTTATTCGTTTGACGTGCTCCTATTCTACACACTCATAGAAATCACGCCGATAGAAATCACACACACTTCACTTAACTCGACTAATACTTGTACACTATTCAAAGCATGTAAGTTTAAGTATTTGCTATACCTGTTTCCATGTCTACTACTGTGCGCTCTTAGACAGTATGCCTATAGGAATCAAATGTCTTGCTTAATTATTAGACAACATACCTATAGGATATAATAACATATGCTTTGCTAATCTAGATACCATGTCTATAGGGCTTCAACTAATTAATCAATGAGTCACTTCTATTGCTTTTATTATACTACTCATCCAGATATCATGACTGTAGGATCTTAATCAATTAATCGACTACTTTTGTTGCTTCATTGTACTGCCACACTTAGATGACATGCCTATAGGGATAAAGTATTATAAAATCAAATTCGATCATCAACTATTAGAATCTTGCCTATAGGATACTGTCACCTACCTAAGAATCATGTTTATGAAATCAGCACTGTTAATTCTGAGTTTTCAAACAGTTGCACCACCTCATTGTGAAAATAATTAGAGATCATGGCTATAGGACATGCAATACCTTTAATCTACCAATACGCTAGTCTAAAGCTGCAGTACTGGATGTATGATACTAGAAATCAGAATCACATAGAGACCATATTTATAGGACTTAATGACTTTTATGTGTTCTAATTTGAAACTGTTTGCCACCTAATGTATGAATCTGCCTGCGTTCAATTTGCTGCTTCTGTGTGGAGGCCAACTTGAGTCATTTATTAACTTTATATGAAGTCCTATATGTTTTGAATGCGCGCCTAGTTTTATCATTTTGAGCATCCTAAGTAGAGTCTAGAATGACCCAATAATAGGTCCAAAGCCTCACGGACCATAGGCATGGGACAGGTAGCTCACGCATAGGAGACAATCTAGAATTGAATTAAAGTTCTTTAAGTAAACAACATTAACATAGTAATCGGGTAGCAGGAGACGATAGTCTGTACACGCTGAATAATATGAGTAACCCTTACCCTAAGATAATTGCGAAGTATTATATATGTTGCACAGGGTGATCCTTTAGGCTAAAAAACTTAGGACCCCACCCCCCTTTATATTTTATTATTTTCACTTAGTCGTTGAATAATTAAGTTGTACCTTGTAACCTCTAAAGACTTGTACTGACTATCTATACGGTTTAATTGTCGTTCGATTTTCTTTACATTTATTCATAATAGAACCTTTAAATTCCTTGTCTTCCCTGGCTTATATGATCACTTAGGATAATTATAATCCGATAATCCCACATAGTATAAATTTCGGCCGGGACCCACAGTTATGGACCTCGAAGAGTGTCTAACACCTTCTCTTTGAAATAATTTGAGCCCTTACCCGATCTTTGGTGACGTAGACTAATCAAACAGAGTTATTTGCAAATAGGTGCCCTAACGCACCTTTAAAAATTATTAGGTAGCGACTCTTCTCTTTTAATACCCATTTAAAAGAGTTGTCACATGTCGAAACCCGCTTTCGAGAGAAAATGGGGCGTGACGCCCATCATCTCCAATAGAAACATCTTTGGCATCACCCTGTTGAATCGTGTCCTTAAGGACAAGCAAATAGGGGTCGTCATACTGACACTCTCTGATGCGATCATATAAGGAAGACCGAGAAACCACGCAAGCTAGAACCCGACTGGGCTCCAAAACATCTAACCTCGTGAACTGATTGGCCAAGGCCTAAACATATGATGCAAGCGGTCTCTCACCAACAAGAATAAATTAAGGCTACCCATACTCACCGACTTCCTACTCAAGGCATCGCGACAAGGTGGCGAGAGTCACCCCACATGATGCAATTGAGATATGCGATATAGATAGTGATAACACGTATCTAGTCAATGGACAAAGAATGAAGCATTATTGGGGAGAGAACTTTGACCACAAAAAGAATAAGGTCTACCTCACTGATAACTAGGCGAGAATTCTGTATCGTTCCACAACATTAAATCAAGCGCTTCATGGGAGGTAACTCATGGTTGTTGTAATTGTACATCGTATCGTGACATTAAATCACACGCTAGTTGGGAGGCAACCCAATTTTCTTATTTTTTTGATAGTTTTAGTGTTTTGATTTTACTTTATTTTATTTTATTCTTGTTAATTGACGTACCTCGTGAATTGTGCACGTGAACAATGAGGTGGGAGAAACAGGCTCAGGTCAAAGGATGGTATGTCATAATGTGGTGAGAGAAATAGGTTCGGGCCATAAGTCAGAAATGACTTCCACATGGCACGCCACAAGTACTCGCATCATGAGAGGCCTCAGCGTCCTTAGGGAAGCCTTAATTTTCGGAGGCAGTGAATGGAGGGCATTGCGAGTCCATATTGCGACAACTGGAACTGCTTATTTGAGAGTCCTCACATTTCAAAACCCTTCAAACCCTCCCTTTTCACTCATGTCTCTCTCTCACACTTGTCCGTCTAACACCATTGCTACCACCCTTCTCATTTACCGACAAATAGGTAAACCCCCTCCTCTCTCTCTCTCTCTATCTCTCTATCCTCTTATTTGTGATGTTCATCCCATTATCCCCATAGGTTAATTTTTAGTTTTTGGTTTTCTCTTTGAATTTAATAGATAATAGGGTGAATTTTCTGGAATTTGGGGGATACTAAATTCCTGATTGTTTGGCTGTTGATTAAAGTGAAGTGGAGAACTACATTCCCACCACCTCATTCAATTTGGGATGGTATTCAAGGCTCAAAAGATATGAAACAAGTAAGGAAAAACTGATGCACACAAAGTGTTTGACAAATTGCTCGAAAGAAGCTTTCAATAGGTTTTGTGAACACTCTATATAAGGGAAATGTAAGTTATCCTTTAAGTGTGGGATGTTCGTGTGGGTGATTTTATACTTAATTTGCATTCAGTTAGATTGAATTCCACCACACAACGACTTAGGCACAATTCTCGCATCGCCTTCACCCACTATGATATGGCTGCTCGCGTCTCATTTAACACAATTATTCCACAGGCTAAGTGTGGGGTGTAACGCATGATATTATGACACATTGACGATACATCTACTAATATTGATACTTTGCTTATGCATGTGTGATGGTGATTACAAAGACCAACGCACAATCATGGGGGTGGAGATGGTAAGCCTCCACCCAAGAAGACACTGACTGATAAAAATGCACCTAGGGAGAAGGGTAAAGAAGTGATAACCAAAACGCTGCATGAATCAGAGGCTAATGGGACGCCTGAGGTGGGCATTGAAGCCACCTAGTAGAGCACTGAGTTGCACGTAACAACACAAACTAGGGCATGACCACCTTGATTTACTACCACATGAGATCGTATTTCAAATTCGTGAAGGAGCATCAAGAACCCCTCCAGAAAATAAGTGGAAAACAAATGAGGTGTAAGGACATGGAGGATAACTTTGCATATAAAGATGCATGGAAGTTGTGGGATAGTATTCTGCAGAAATAAGTCAATCCATTGGTTCTTGAGAAACCACTAAATTTGAATGCTACAAATAGAGTGTGCCCGGGAATTGCTGCGGAGATTGAGGAGAGATGATGGGTACACTTCGCTCAAGGAACAAAACAAAAGGCTAACCTGACTCTCATAAGGGAGTTTTATTCAAGGCTGCATCCAAACCAGGGTGACATTGTTTGGATGCAAGGGGTAGACGTGGATGTTTTAGCCCAAACGATCAATAAATATTACTGGGACAATTAGCAAGCGGTGTCCGATTATTGGAGAAAGGAGAAACGTCTTCTCCTGGACCATATGTTGCACCCTATTTTGCACAGGTCAAAACAAGATTCAACTAGTGGTTCTTCTGATGTTGCTAAAAAAGAGCCGCCACCTAATATTTTGAGGTAAATTAGGGTACTTATGTTTTATTAGATTATTATCCTATTGGTCTTCTAACCGGTGAGATTTGGGTAATGGTTCTTGTTCTTTTAAGGGGAAGATGTTAGGCACCCCCTAAAATCTACTTGAGGTAGCTCCTTAGAACTTAGGTTAGGTTCAGGGAAGTAAAGATCTATATTCTGCTAAGTTTAGTGCTTTAAAGTTTGTAACCTATCCTAAGTCTTGTTTAAAGTCCACGATTTTTTGAAAGAAAGTAGTGTATATACATACTTTGAAAAGGAGTCACATGTGTTTACAAGGTCTATAACTTATTAAACAATCTTTTTAGAAAACGTTTTTGCCTAAAGAGTTGAGGAAAATCTTTGTGAAATATTTTATGTTTGGAAAGGATTTTGAATATTTTATCTCTTTTGAAAATATGACTATCCGTATGACGTAATTAGATAAAGGCCATTCAGAAATATGTGTATATCCTAAATTGGGATAGATATACCTTTCTTAAGAATTTATTTGGAGTTGAATTTTGAAAATTCGTTTTAGTTTGCAATCTCAAAACCATATATGGTTTTCTTTCTTGAAAATCAGCCTTGTGTATACTCTTTCAATTCTAATTTTTCCCAAACAATGATTGTTCGCTTGCAAGTCTGTTTTAAAATCAAAAGCTTCATGAAAATAGTTAGTAATAACCAAAAATGGAGCCTTTTATTTGATAACAATAAGTGATCAAAATGTCAAAATATTTCAGTGAACATAGCAAATAAACTCAGATTCTTTCTTTATTTATCAGTGGGCTTTGGTTTGCCTAGATTCCTAAGATAATCAAAACATAACCAAAAGTATTCTATAATAATGTTAGTATCATATAGATATACACAGAACAAACAACAAATTTTATTTATCTAAAATGCGAGAAAGGAAAGGAACTAGACTCGAAATTGGGCCAGTGGACCAGGCCCAGCAGATCTACAGGCAGCGACAGTTGTCAACCAGTAAAGGATCCTAGACTGAAACTTAGGCCTGAGTTCCAAAGAATATAGTGAAACCAATTCATTTGTATTAATCCGAAAGAGATTAATAGAGTTAGTGATTAGAAGCTTAAAGCAAAAGCTTATCCATGGATAATATACCCTATGAATCCATGACACTTCAGAGTTCATAAGGGTCTCACAGACCCCGAGCAATACTTGTGTCAGGGAAGGGCATCTTAACCACAAACTAGGCCCCACCCCAAATACCCTTAATCACTCACACTTACTCTTCTTCAAAGGTTTAAATACAAATGAGGTATTCACTTCAAAAATTAGTGTGAGAGCAACAGTAGACACACGTGGTTCAAATACACAAAGTTCAGAAGCTATAACGAATGAACACTTCAGCATTACACCCTTAACCTTAAGGTCAGTATCCAAACACAAGGAAGCAAACTACTGCAAGTATTCATAGCATCTAGTGATATCGATATCTATAACATGCATCAAGGTCACTTAAAGAGGTTGTCACACAAATACTAAACAAAGGGGATTAATGGCAAACTTATCAGTAAACTAGTTCAAGTTCAGGGTTACCTAATTGAGTGATCTGTGAATGATATAAGAAGACATATGCACTAATCTTATTACTTCTACTAGGCTTAACATTTTAGGACCTTTATCTAAGTCTACAGAACATCAACAGTCATTGCAGTAGTATTCAGAATAGTCAAGAATGAGCATGTACATGATTAGGGCCCTTCTCCACTAAAGACCCATACTAACAACTTTGTTCAACCAAGTAAAGACATCAAAAGGCCAGGTGGTTAGTCTTAATCTAATCCAAGTTTAATTGCATGATTACTAGTCTATCAGATTCTTAATCAACATTCAGATTCATAACTAAATCTTTATAGATAAATGATATCAACCAGATATGGAAAAGTGTTCATTTTAACAAGGTAAACAAGTATTGATGGATTTGTTTAAGCTCATAAGTAACAACAATAAATTCCTCATTATAGATTCTATATCACTCAAACTTGTTAGGTCATTAAAGCCAGTAGGATACAACCATTATTTGCAAAACAATTTCAAATGAAGAACACAGTAGTAGAAGCATGAAACTTCCTCAGATGAAATACATATAAGGATTTATAATCATCATTGAACAAACACAAACATAGGGGTAACATAAATTACTCAAACCTATACATGGTGATGTTTCTAAAGAGTTACAAGACTGCAGGACATATCAAATGAGAAGATAATATAATAACTAAGCTAATGAATTTATTACAGGAGTCATTAAGTGTGTGCAACAGGCATGATTCCAATAATAGATTATTTAGTCAAAATAGATAAGTTAAATATGTGACATGGAAAACTTATGATGAAGATAATTTTTTAGTTAAATCAACAGATGGTATAATATTAATAATCCAAGAATTAATGTAACACAGATTTAGTAGACATAAACTCTCAACAGGACATCAAAAAAGTCTAAGAAACAACTTAATCAAGCTAGCTAAACATAGTAGTACAGCTGACAAAACACACATAGAAATATCAAAAGACTTCTAGGTAATGTCAAAAGTTCAGCATAATTCATATCATTCACTACGGAAAATGTTATCTAGTTAAGCCATGAATTTCATTAACACAAATTAACTATCAATACTAGAACAATCATAATTTATCAAGAGAACAATCAACAATAATCGATGAGAACAACATAACATATTAAACAATCACAAACTACTAACATATGTCATGAACGAAGGATAATCAATAGAGAGGACATTATAAACACCAAACAATACAAATAATTGAAGAAAGAAGGAGGGTCAGTGTACACTGACCTTCTGCTGGGCAGCAAACCAAACAAGAGCTTCTTTCTTAGTCGTTTATGAATCCAAAGCTCCATGTACAGAGAATGAAGCTCAAGCGGAAATGAAAGAGGAAAAGAGAAGTTAGGAGAAACTACTGGAAACTAAATTTAGCAAAAAGAAGTTTTGAACTTTTTGATTTTTGAGTGTATTGATATTGTAACGACCCGACCGGTCGTTTTGAGTAATGTAGCCCTATTCCCATATTTATTGCTTATTCTATGCTCATTTTTTGTTATGTGACTTTCCGAGGTAGTTGGATTGATTCCAGGGATGTTTCAGAATGAATTGGGACATTTAGTCCCAAGGTTGGAAGCCTAAGTTGAAAGAGTTGACCACATGTTGACTTATGTATAAACGACTCCGGAATGGAGTTTTGATGGTTTTGATAGCTCCGTATAATAATTTTAGACTTAAGAGTTTATTTGGATATTGATTTGGAGGCCCATAGGTCATTTGGACTTGAATTGGCGAAAGTTGGAAAAATAGAGGTTGAAGGGTTGAAAAGTTTGACCGAGAGTTGACTTTGTTGTTACCGAGCTCAGATTTTGGTTTCAGAAGCTGGAATAGGTCCGTTGTATCATTTATAACTTTTGTGCAAAATTTGAGGTCAATCGGAGTTGGTTTGATAAGATTCGGCATCTATTGTAGAAGTTGGAAATTCATTAGTTTCATTAGGCTTGAATTGGGGTACGATTCGTATATTTGATATTGTTTGATGAGATTTGAGACCTCGACTAAGTTTGCATGATATTTTAGGATATGTTGGTATGTTTGGATGGGGTCTCGAGGGCCTCGAGTGTGATTCAGATCAAGTTCGGACTCATTTTGGACTTTGTTGGTGTCACGCCCCGTCCCCGGGAAGCGCGACCGGCGCTCAACCGAGTAAACCTGGCCGAGCAAGCCTGTTAGATACTTTCTACCCAAATTAACCCATGATCAAGAAAAGACAAGATTCCATTAATTATACATTAGGGATCTCATTCATACAATCCTAAATTATTTCATTAGTCATTGCGCCTTTAAGTCTCAAAATACACATTTCTTATAGTTCAAGTGGAACAAGTGATCAAACACTACTTGTTAAACATTCCCAACACCCATATACAACCCACATAGTATCTACAGAGCCTCTAAAGAAACAAAAGAGAGTAAAGATGGTGCCGATGACAAGGCCCCGATTGTACCTCAAAAACAAAGTGACCATGATATAAACAAAAGGTACAATACATGACCTCGGAATGAAATGGCGCTCACCGAGTCCGCTGAGAAGAGGATGCGGCACTATCTGAGATCCGCACTGTCTGCTATGTAACCACCTGCATCCATTTAAGGCAAAAGGGACGTTAGTACCGTCGAATAGCACTAGCATGTATATCTAAACACCAACTCAATAGAATGAATAATAATAATACAAGAGGGACAATCAATAGTTCGATAAGGGCTTCAAATAATAGTAAAACAACAAGTTAAGGATCATATACATTTTCAAGATAATTTCCATTTAATATCGATATTTCACAATTCCCAATACCTCTGTATTCTTACCCGGAGTCGGATCTCGGCCCGATCGGCTAGGCCATCTCATTTGAGACATTACCATAATTTTATTATAATTTCCAGCACAGTACCACCATGTGTGCGGCATGGCATCCGATCACGGCTCGATCGGCTAGGCCATCTCATTTGAGACATTACCACAATTTCACTCACAATACCACTATGTTCTTACACGGAGTCCGATCTCTGCCCGATCGGCTAGTCCATCTCATTTGAGACATTACCTTCTTCAGTCAATCATCTCACATCGAACTTCTTTCATATACTTTCAATTCATTGGCACTAGTGATTACGATTACAAAGTCATTCTTGGCACTTGGCCGTATTTCATAGTTCCAGTTCCCTTTTCCACCTTCAAATATCATTATCATTATCGTCATCAATAGGCCTTCCCATTCAAGACCTTAATTCACATATAAGCAATTTGAGAAATCTCAGGCACATAGGGGCCTTTCATACAATTTGGCAAAACAACCTTTATTTCAATCTTGACATGAAGTCTTAACATTCCTAACACATATTCCACATTTTGAACATATTCTCAAATGGCAAGATGACATGATGAAGCATTTAGCATAAACATTGAACAAACATCCTTCAACACAACCACATTAGGAAAAGCCAATTCAATAATGATCAAGGACTTACTCCAATTACATGAACACCATGGGATTTGATTCTAAGAAGAAGGGGGGGGGGAGGTTAGCTAACTTACCTTAATTGAGCTTCTTAAAACTCTAAGATATTCCGAACTATTAGCAACTTTAATATATTTTAGCAATATAACAAAATTGAACCAAGATTAGGAAGATGAGCATGGTTTTGGCTCATTTGAGCATACTATCAAACACTAGGTGTGCATCA